GGCAAGGAGGAGCAGCGTGCCCGCGATCTCTTCTATGGGCTCTGGATCCCGGATCTCTTCATGAAGCGGGTCAAGGACAACCAGGACTGGACACTCTTCTGCCCAAATGAGGCCTACGACGAGGAGAGCGGTAAGGGTCTCATGGATTTCTGGGGCCAGGAGTTCGAGGAGCTCTACACACGCCTGGAGAGGGAGGGCAAGGGCCGCAAGACAGTCAAGGCACAGCAGCTTTGGTTCCGCATCCTTGAGTCTCAGATGGAGACAGGCACGCCGTACATGCTGTACAAAGACCATGCGAACCGGAAGTCCAACCAGCAGAACCTTGGCACGATCCATTGCTCTAACCTTTGTACGGAGATCATCGAGTACACTTCGAAGGATGAGGTGGCAGTGTGCAACCTCGCCTCCATTTCGTTGCCAGCCTTTGCCAGCTCGGATGGCACCTATGACTTCCAGCGACTCTACCAAGTGACCAAGGTGGCGACCCGAAACCTGAACAAAGTCATTGACCGGAATTACTACCCGGTGGAGGAGGCACGTAAGTCCAACCTGAGGCATCGGCCTGTGGGCTTGGGCGTCCAGGGCCTCGCCGATGCCTTCCTCATCATGAAGCTCCCCTTCGAGAGCGAGGCCGCGAAGCAGCTGAACGAGGACATCTTCGAGACGATCTACTTCGCGGCGTGCGAAGCATCCTGCGAGCTTGCGGAAACTTGCGGCCCTTACGAGACCTACGAAGGCAGCCCTGCCAGCAAAGGTCTGCTGCAGTTCGACCTGTGGGATCGGAAGCCACGCAGTGGGCGCTGGAACTGGGAAGGCCTGAAAGGCCGCATCGGCCAATTCGGACTCCGGAATTCTTTGCTTGTGGCGCCTATGCCTACGGCCAGCACCGCCCAGATCTTAGGCAACAACGAGTCCTTCGAGCCGTACACACAGAACCTCTATGTTCGTCGGGTACTTTCGGGCGAGTTCGTGCAAGTGAACCGACACCTCCTCAAGGACCTCATCCAGCGCGGTCTGTGGAACGAGGAACTCCGCGTTCAGCTGGTCGCCCACAACGGCAGCGTCCAGAAGATGGACCTGCCGCAGGATCTCAAGGAGCTGTACAAGACCGTCTGGGAGATCAGGCAGAAGGTTGTGCTGGACATGGCTGGTGACCGTGGCGCCTACATTGACCAATCGCAGTCTCTGAACATCCACATGACGGATGTGACCACTGCCAAGCTCTCCTCCATGCACTTCCACGGCTGGCAGCTAGGCTGGGGAGTCCGGGGAGGGACCTAGTGCTCGTAGCTCCAGACGTTGCCTTCGCCAGGCTTGAAGACTGGCCTGTACTACCTCCGCACGAAGGCAGCCGCAGATGCTATCAAGTTCACCGTGGATGTCCAGAAGCTTTCCAAGACCGCCAGGCTCCGCGACAGTCCAGCCATGCGACAAGACACCATCCCGATAAACAAAAAAACTCCTTCATGCAAGAGAAGCTCGGAACGCAGGTCTGACAAGTCATTGGCCTCGGATTCAGATGCCTCCACGGCAGTGTCCGCGACGAAAGGCCTGGAGGCTTCTGCTCCTTGGCTTCAATGCACCCTGCCAGGGGCTGCAAGCTGTGAAGATGTAAGGCGTCACCTGTTCACCGACCTGAGGCGATCGAAGCTCTGAAGGCTGAAGGGCCAAAGTACAGCTGCGTGAACTGCAGCGCGTGAGCCAGCTTTGCACCCAATTCGCTTTAACCAGCCGATCCATGGATCATCATGGGCCCAGGTGCCACTTGCCAGAGGTTGTAGACCTGCGACCCGCCCGAGCTACTGCCAGGACATGACTGGAAGGGTCCGGAAGGTATCATGATCCATGTTCTTTCGATCGCTAATTCGCTGCCGCGCACAGCCACGGGGTAG